GCGCCACATTTTGAGCTATTGTTTCATAATCGAACGGCATGCATCCATTCGCTGCTGAAATATGGCCTACAGTAGATTACGGAAATATGGCCCCCTTGTGTCTTTTTACCCTCCCATCCCGATCTTCCTTTTTCAGTTTTCTGCTCAAATTAAGCAGAAAACTGAAAAAGGAAGATCGGGGTGGGAGGGTAAAAAGACACAAGTAAAAAGTAAAAAAGACATCCGTGTTCTGATAAAACAGGCATTTCAATTACAAAAAAGCACATTTCGTGCACATTTTACTGGGCAAGAAGCCTGAATCATACGGGGTTTTATCTCACAATAATCACTTATGCAATGCAACTGAATACTTCAATTAGATCTGAAATTAATCAGCTGAGCAACTATTTAAATCTGAAACCAAAAAAAGCAAAATGAATACTTAAATTAGGTCTTAATCTAATTAACTGAAAACTCAAACTCGATCCAAAATTAACCTGTAAAAGCGATAGCAGTGATTGCGAGGAGCAGTGACATCCGTGAAAATTTGTACCGCTGGCTGTACCGGTTCCTACCTCCTCCAACCATTGACGTATAATACGGTTGCTATTTACCAACACCCTCCGCTGACCACGACCGCCCTTTGCCCCTTTGTCGTTAAGTAAACAACTCATGAGCAACGAGGATGTTGAATTCAAATTTCAATGGACAAATTGCCTTTCGATCAGTCATATACGCATACATACATCTTAACGGCAGCTGTTTGTTCAAAATCCCTCCTTTTCGACAAATATCAAGAAAATTCGATGCGAAAAGGTTAAAGTCAATGGACTGCCATGCACAAAATTTGAAAAAGTATTTGTCCTGAAGATGCAGCTAAAAAAATAGCATATATCCAAGTATACCAATATCCTCCAGGCAATCAGCATAGGTATTTCATACTAGTAATGTTACTGGGATGCTCTTGCATTGCTGTGGGTTAAACCTTGATTCGCTTTCACTTCACAGCTAAATTTTAATCTAGTTTTTCATCTACCTTCTAACTTTGATTCAGTTTCGCCGCGCAATTAGAGTTGATTCATTTTTACCAACCATCTAAATTTTTCTCGCTTTTGCACTCACTTAAATTATGATTCAGTTTTACCATAAATTTAAGTTTTTTTTCATACACCTTTAAATATCTACACACACCTGGACTCGAATCGCGTGACTTTCGAATTATTCAACCATTTAGTGCTGATTCGATTTCACTCATTTTTATCATTCAGCTAGGCTTTGACCCGCTTTTAAACCAATCTAAATTTTGACAAAATTTTATCAGCGCAGCTATGTTTTGACTCGATTTTACCTCTCATCTAAGTTCTGACTTGCTTCTGCTATGCAACTATCATCGTCGTGACTTCTGATTTTTTCCCAGAATCTTGAATTGATTCGTAAAAACTGCTTGAACAAACTCCGTTGGAAGGAGAGCTTACCGGCAGAAGCCTGCTAAGTACTTGTGGTAACATATGATGCTAGACCTATTCTCTCTGATTCTAATATTTTGGCCATAACTACCTTAATGTTTGCCGTCATATTTTGTGGCCTTAAAGATGCTTTACTTTTTCGCTCTTGCTGTTAAAACAGGTTTAAAAGCGTCAGGGACTAAGAGACTATCGTGAAGAAGTACCATTCTGTATATATGAGCGTATTCACTTTTGCTCTGTGCCCAGTGAAGCTTGCTAATATTTCATAAGATCGCACTGGAATGATAATTTGCATAACTAATGATAACTAAGAATAATAAGAATCGTGAACGATAAAATAACTTCATGATGATCCAGGAGTGGTGAAGGTAATAATGATCAGCACATCACAAACGCCGTGCCAGGTTTTGAGCTGATAAACCCGTCAGGAGATGAAATGAAGTTCAAAACTGTCAACAGGCTAACCGCCAAGGAATGAAGCACCGATCAAAGCAAATGCGGAAGCTGCCAGATGCATAGATGGAAAACGAAGCAGTGAATTGCAGCTGACCAATGCATCAAAGGAAGTATTAGTACTGCCCAAACAATCGGAGTGAGGATCCAGTGGGCATGTAACTGTGGCTTCAGTACATGTACGATATCTAGAAAGTAAATGTATGCTGAAGTTTCTATGTTAGTGATTATTAGTGAGACGCTCTCGCATGGCGGGCATGGCTATGCCAAGTTATCAATTTTGCAAAAATTTTAACAATGATTTATCATCGGATATAACTGGTGTATCCTCATTTGGC